ATCAAAATCCAAATATATTCTGCTTAAGGAGAGAGGCTAAAGAGCATGACATGGGGAAGTAACAGGAGTTCACGAGGAGGGATTAGGCAAAGGAGACTTGCGAGCTGCACAGGAGAACTTTTGGAGAGAGTCACAAACCTAAGCAAAGGAACCTGAGAGAGAGCTGTCACCATCTCAGTAAGAGGCCGTGTGGCTTGGCCAGGGTGGGGCATGGGGGCGGTGAGAACAGAGCAGGGACGGGGTCCTTCCTGGGCCCAGAGCTCATGGAACTACTGAACTGAAGGGTTGAGTGAAGGGAGGAGCCTATCCTTCCTGACTCAGATTCCTTCTCTTAAGGAGGGATGGTAATCCTCAGACACTTACCAAGTGCCTTGCACTTGCCACTCAAATTACGGCCTGAAGACATTCGTGGTCCCTGGAGCCTGTTAGAAATGCAGGCTCTCTACACCCCAGCCCCACCCAGAGCCGCTGAGTCAGGGTCTGTATTTCAGCAAGATCCCCAGGTGATTCAGGATGCCCCCTGCACTGAGAAGTGCTACAGGTTTGACGAAGACACAGGCGTTGAAGGATGGGCTGTGCTGGCCGCAGTCTACAGGTGCAGCATTAAGAATAGCATGAGCACCTGTGAACTCTGCAGGACTGGAGTGGAAGTTCATCCTCTCTCTTGGAGTAACATGACTGCTTTTTCTCTAATTTCTGGCAGATGCTCCAGGATCTGCTCTGTAGGATGCACGGGAATTCTATTAACAGTCAGTTTTGCTTTTGTTTAATAAAAATCAGCAGCAACAAGCAAAACTGTTGTCTCCACTCAACTTCTGATTTATACGGCTAGGCAAAAAAAAAAGTAAAAACTTTCGGTGTGGGGGTTTCAGTTTCTACTTAATCTTGCTTACCAAGTTTGTCTGTGCCTTTTCTTGTGGGACATTAGGGCCCTGATGTCTTAAGGCAATGTTCTCATGCATCTCAGCTGTGTTTCAAGTATCTGGTCTCTGTAAACCCTAATAGGTCGGCCTGAGAGCTGGGTACCTCATACCCACATGTCTTTTAACTCTTCCTGCTCTCTTCCCCAAAAGGCAGCAGCAGGAGATTTTTTTTTTTTTGTAATAAGATAATGTATGTACCTCAAGAGGAAATGTACAATGTATATACAGTGGAAGAAGAAATACACAATCTGTAGTCCAATTCCCTTCTTCCAGCTTACCAGTTTTTTTGTGTATTCTTTGAGAAATATTCCATAGATTTACTAATAGATGCATATGAAAAGGAAGTCCTTTTAATCCTGATTTTAAAATCACCTTAATCTGATCAAAATATAAAAACTAATGGAACATTTGAAAGAAGCTCTTAGATTTTGCACTGCAAAGTGTGTCTGAATACATTTATAGAAGTGGAAACTGCATACCTCCAGATGCCAGGAGCTCCGTTTCAAACTTTGTGACTCTGACGATCTTGGGAAAGTTGCTCAGTTCCCTGAGCCTCAAGCCCCTGAAGCTGGGATCCTAACAGTACTTCCTTCGTGTCCCCTGCTGAGCACAGGGCCAGAGAGTCAGCGTTCAGTGAGGGTTAGCAGTTACTTAGGGCACCTGCAGTTTGTAGATGTCTTTAAATGAACAAATGTATGCTCTGCACCCATTTGGAAATGAAAGACTATGCCCGTAGATTTTGTGTTGCATCAAAAACGTGGGAGTAGAGGACCCTGTGGTGCTGGTTTTCTCCTCCGCCCTCTTTCTAGGCCCCATCTCTGTTCTTCCGGCTCTGGCCAGGAGCCTTGGGGCCACTTGGCCTTTTCTTTTGACCCCACCCTTTGTTCAGACTCTGATGAGAGCCTCCCTGCTGGTTCTCTTGCTGCCCCTGCCTTCACCTCGGTCTGTTTCCAGCAAGGCAGCCAGAGTCGCAACAGGAGCACAACAGGCTTGTGCTCCCAGCACTCCCATGGGCCCACCACACCCACAGAAGCACCTTGAGGGGCCATGGAAGCCCTCTCTTCTCTCAGCACCCCTCCTGGCCACCCAGCAGGCTCTGACCTCTCCTGCGGCTCCTCCGCTCACTCACCTCCTGCCACGCACTGGCCTTTCTCCATGGACACACCAAGGTACACAGCGTGCTCTGCCAGCACCTGCTGCCTGCCCCTTCTGCCCAGCACGTCCATTTCTTTGATGTCCTCCACCTTCCCATGAGGCCCTGCCTGCAGACACAAGGAAAAATGGCACTGCCCTTCCCCCTCCCCTGTTGGCTTTTCTTTTTTCAATTTTCCTGCTTTATTTTCACACTTGGCACTTATCACCAACTAATCTACGCTCTAGTTTTCTTACTTCCCTGGATTATTGTCTCTCTAGACTGCAAGAACCAAAATAACTGAGGTTTTCTGTTTTTGTCACTGCTGCCTTCTGAGTGCCCGGAACAGTGCTGGCACTCAGTGAGAATTGTCTTTGTTGAATACACAAATGGACTTAGGCGTCAATGAAATGAATGCAACGATGTATGCAGTGCATGTTCAGCCGATTTTTAGAGGCATTAATGGATTCCCAACTTTATTCTGTTAAAAGTTTAAAATATGAAAAAGCAAATGAACCGAGCTCTCCTCAAAAGAGGCTCAGAAATTAATAAAGTCACAGAAATATATAAAGAGTGGGTAAAATTAAGCCTGGGAAGTAGAGATGGGAGAAATTATAAATAAAATACAAATTAATTGTAAAAATCAGAAAAATATAAATCTCAAAAGTTAGCGGTTGATAAAAAGCAGTAAAGCGAATTACATTGCTTGTTCCCCTCCTTATAAACCTAATCAGTAAAGTAGAAGAACGCAAAAATAAAAGCGTAAATTAAAACACTACAGATTCAAAGGAGTTAAAAATCACCGGGAAGTATTCATGAATTGGAAAATCTGGTAAGATGGCAAAGTGTATGATACCAGAGCGCATCGAGACATTGAACATTTCAGTAACTCAAAAAGCAAGCGAGATTTTGGAGACATTTTCAAAGAATTATCTCCCAGAATGTCTTTAAATTCATATGTTTTTTTAAAACTTTTAAGAAACAGTTCATTTTAATGAATGTATCAAAAACTACAAATCATAGAAATGCTACATATTCATTTTGTAAAGTTAGTATGACTTGGGAATGAACACCAAAATAAAATAATATTGAATCATATTTAGGAAACTGAATTAAGCAGTGTATCAAAGTAGTAAACCATCAGAACCAACCATGATCTTCCTAAGAAAGAAAAGATAGTTTGATTTTAGGTAAGCAATTAACATGATAAGTTATATCAAAAGCAATGGTTATCTCAGTAGGTGGTCGAAAATCTGTCAGTGCAATTTGATATATATTCTTTATCAAAGCTTTTTCGAAACTAGCCATATAAGGCCTTTTATTAACAAAGACCTCGTGTCAATTCCTGGGTTCCAGGCTGAAGCCTTCCACTGTGTGCTGCATGAATGGGAAATGCCTTTTGAATGGGAAATGTTCCACAAATAATTGTTGAGTGTGCACTTTAGACCCATTGCTAACATGACATTTAGTGAAACTGTGAAAGAATTCCCATGAAAATTGCTTAGTATCATAACTAATATTTAAGATTGCTCAAAAATTTCTGGCTAAAGTATTAAAATATTCAGCCATCAGGAAGGAGAAACAAAACTATTTGTAAACAGTTTTTCAGTACTTACTTAAAACTGGAGAATGAGCTCAGAAATATTTTTCAGTGCTGAGACAGTTTAGCAAAATGAACAGATACTACCTCAAACCAAACCAAACCAAACAAAACTAGAAAGTTCAGAGGACACAGAGAGACCAGCAGTGACCTGGTAACACGTCTGTTGCTTGTGAAAGTGTCCTCTGGAAGAGGTAGTTCAGGGCTTTTGGCTACAAGTGACATATACCCCAGTTCGCCAGCTTCAAAAATAAGGAAGAATTGTCTCTCATGACAGGAGAGTCGTGAGAGGCCATAGCAGGAAGGCCATGGTTTACCTGCGTGGCTCAGCAGCATCCTGGGGCCGGGCTCCTTCTGTGGGCCCCTGCTGCCTGCCTCATCTCCTCTGCTTCAGCTCTCCTTCCTGGCTGAGAGAGGCCCACCTGGGTCCTCACAGATGCAACAGTGTCCACTGGAAGGAGAGTCCCTTGGGCACATTGTGTAATTTATTTGGGCTTCCACTTCTCAATCTGTAAAATGGAAATAGTGTGTATCTCATAGCATCCCTGTAGGGCTGGAATGACAGGTTGTATGTGAGATGCTTGATCTGTAAGGAAAATGCACTTGGCGTGTCATAGGGCCCTGAGGTCCTGGTTCTTTTCCACAGTTCCTGCTCTGAGAGGTACTTGGTCAGAGGCCGGCAGTCTGAAAGCTCTCCCCAGCATCTGCTCAGTTCTCATTTATCTTGGTCTTTCATTTTCCCTCACCCATTTTTTTTTTCCTTCCTTTCAGTTTGCAAACCATTCTCCTTGGGACAGAATACCATTTTAGGTAGCTCTTTTGCCATTTGTTTTATTTCTTAATCTTCTTTATTGTCTGTGCACATGAAAAGGCCCTTTTTTTGTCTGGAGTCATTGCTCCCAGCTGCAGCTCCCTTGGCTTTGTTTTCTGATTTTGTTCTATATTTGCTCCTGGTAATAAACTCATTTTGTAATTTTGCTGTTTAGTCACAGGGCTTCATTGGGAACGCTCACATTTTTGTTCTCACCGTGCTTACTTGTGATTATGGAGTTGAGGTTATGACTTTCAGGTGCGTTTGATTCCAGAGCCACATGCCATAGAATCATCTGTGCATTTCTGGGAATGTCTTTGCTGCAGTCTCTGAAGTCTGTGGGCACATTCCGGGCCGTGCCGGCCTTCTGTCTGCCAGTTTCACGCACGGCATGAAGTGTCCTTGCTTTCTTTCCTAAATGAGTCTCTGCCTCTGTGAGAACTGGGTCCACCTTCCCTCAGTGGCTCCTCTTTGTGGGAGTCCGAATGGTAAACATGGCCAGCGGCCTGTGAAGAGTTGTAGCCAAATGAGCAGAAGCCCAGCAGCTGTGTGGGTGGGCGCGCCCTCTGCGTGCTGCTTCCCCGGCCATGCTGGCTTCGCCTTGCCTGGCTGGCTTCGCCTTGCCTGGCTGCCTCCATCTGGCCGGGGCCCTCAGCTGCTCCCAAGGCTCCAGCCTCCGGCCCCAACTGCCTTTTAGCCTCAACCACAGCCCCTCCAGCGTGGTCACCAATTTTTTTACCTAAGGGTTCATGTTCTTGACAAATACACAGTTTATCCTCCTCCTCTTCGTTCTTTTTTATATTCCAAATGCCTCTCCATCTCCATGTTCAAATATTTCAGTCCTGTCCCACCAATTCCTGGCAGGATCCGTCATCGCGGCTATGAACATGAAAATACCAGTTAGAGTGGGTGCAGGTGCTGGCGTTTCTGGTTCTGCAGCGTGGCTGGCCACATTGCAAACATAGCCTGGCTGCCTCTCTGCTACAAAGACCACACTCCCGCCCCTCCCTCACCTGCAGCAGGGAGCTGGGGTCTTCCCCTTGACAGGAGCCACGGGCTTGACACAGGCTTGCTGGGTGGGGAAGCCGGTCACGCCTATCATATCAGAAACAGGTGCGTCTCAGGAAACCCCTGTGCACCCAGCACGATCTGGCAGAGTCAAAGCCCAGATCCAGGTCACCACTCGCCTCCACTTCAGTCACTCCTCCCACGTATTTATGGAACGTCTGCCACATGCCAGGTGCCTTCTGGGCTGTCAGGGCACCAGGATGAGTGATGTTCTGTCCTTATATTCAGAAGGCTCAGAAAATCATACCACACTGGGCGAGGGCTGCACACCCACAGGCCTGCCTTGTTCCGGGTGCCAGAGGACAGGGGTGCCTGCTCAGCGGGAAGGCAGTGACAGCAAGAGGGGGCTGCCTGGTGATTCTGAGCTGAGACTAAAAGATACATGGGAATTAGCCAGACCAGAGGCTGGGAGGAGCCTGGCATGAGGTGGGCACAGGCATTCCAGGGGACACAGTCTGGGTGGTGAAAGCCCAGGAGACGTCATCTAGTGAGGGCCCAGGGAGGGCAGGCCAGATCCGGGCAGTGCGGTTGCTGCTGGGGGATGGAGACTAGGGCAGCCGGTGAGACTCGAGGCTCTGAAGTGGGCAGGAGCCTCCCAGAGCCGGCCTGGTCCCTTGGGAGAGCTTGCTGTCCCATGAGTTGGGGTGGGGAGTATAGGGCGAGCAGGCTGCAGCCTGGGTGGCAGGGACGAGCTCTGCCCCTGCTGCCCTGCGTTGAGGCCCCTGCCCACAGCTGGAGGAGCAGCTGGCCTAGAGGAGACAGAGCGGGGAAGCCAGGGCATGGCTGGAGAGGAGAGAGCAGAGACCTATGTGCCCTGGGTATAGGCTGACTTTAATGACGCAAAGACCTTGGTGAAACAGCACTGTCAGGAGTCAGGCCTCTGGGCCCCTGGCCTCTGTCCTTCCTGGGCCACCCTCTCTGCCTGCCGCCTCTCCCTCTCCCTGCATTTCCACCTATCCCTCTGCGGCCCGCCGGACTCTCCTGCATCCCCAGGAAAGATTGGCTCAGCCCCTCCAACATGCCACTGGCCAGTCAGGTGGGCTGGAGAGCTGGCAGGTCCTGCTAAGAATGCAGGCTGCCTGGCCAGCCCCTTGGCACCCGCAGGGCTGGGCCAGCTCACTGAGAAGGGGTGGTCTCCGTTACCATCACACTGTGCCCTCCCAGTCTTTGCTGAGTCTGTAGCTCCCTTTCAGACCATGCAAGACTCCCAGTGAGGGAGTGATGATGGCATTAGGAGTAAAACGACCCCAGCACTGTCCAGACAGGTGACCAGCCGAGGGTGCGAGTGCAGCCCGTCTAGGGTGCTGGCTGACGGTGCTCCACCCAGGGGCCATGACACCCCCAGTCTGTGGCTCTCCCAGCTCACCCTTGCCTGAACTCCTTCCTCCACTTCACCTGTATGAGAGACACGTGTTACCGTAGGGAGAGTCTGACTCTCTGGTTCATGGCTGGGTTCAAGTCCTGATGCTGCTGTAGTGGCGGTGTGACCTTGGTGAGGCACTCTCTCTTGCAGAGCCTCTGTCCTCCTGCCTCACCCCCATCCTGCGCCGTTCCCCGCCTTGCACACAGGCCCAGGCTGGCCTGATGGACACTGGTGACATGAGGGGCAGCCTTGGGGCTGTTGTGGTTTTAGTCACCTCTCCTGACTCTTTCTACCTCATCTTCTGGAGAAAGTCTTCCTGCAACCCCAGCCTCTTCCTAAGTCCTCTGCGTATTTTGTTTAACTGAACCGTCGACCACAAACCAGAACGGAAGGGCTCCTCCCAGGGCACACCCCGTGTGGGGGGAGGGGCGGTGGAGTCCCCCTGCTCCTGGCTGTCACCCCTGTGCAGATTGTCCCCACTGAATCCTGCACCAGTGGGCCTGTCACTCCTCGTCACTATTCTGGCTCCCAGCTGTGACCGTCACGCACTGCTCCTTTTGTCCTTGAGGCTTTTGGAATCGCCAGTTGGAACCAGCAAACCAATCACCTGGACCCGCTTCCACTGGCAGTGGAGGCTGCCAGCCATGTGTACCCCGCCCCTCTGCCGAACCCCGTGGGGGTCGAGTCCCCTGCTGTGGCTCTCAGGGTCACACCCCGCATGGCTCTGCCCACTCCGTCCACTGTCCCCCATCTTCCAGCTCGTTAGTGGGTTCCCAGTGCTGCATCAGAGGCCCCTGCCCTCCCTGAGCTGTGCTCCCCGAAAGTCCTCTCTGTCTTGGGTGTCTCTCCCCACCCCTGCTCATATTCACAAGCATTTCCATCCTTACAAAGACACCTTCCCTTGCCCTGTGTGCCTTCCAGCTGCCACCTGCCCCCTCCTCCTGCCACCTGCCCCCTCCTCTGTCTTCACTTCCAGCCCGGACCGTTTGTCCCCACTGCAGCAGGGACCTGTGTCCACCATGGTGTGAAATTGCAGACGAGGAACACGGGAAATCCAAGGCCACAGCTGCTGGAAATGGCCATGCCTATTTTGACCTCTCTTCAGCCAGGGAGAGGACATCACTTCTTCCTGAAAATTCTCCCACCCCTTGCTGCCCTGGCTTCCGGCGCACCGCCTCCTGCCACGTCTTCCTGTGGCCTGTGCGTCCTTGTTATTGGCCTTAGGTGCTCCCTGCTCCCCTCCAGGCCTCGCGTGCTGCTCCTCCCTGATGCCTTCCCCTCGGCACGCCCACGTTTCTACCACTGCCTTCTAGAGGAGGCTCCAGAGCTGCCTTCACGTCTCCAGCCCAGCATGGACTTTACCGTCTGCCCCGCCCTTGTCTGGTATTCCGCTGCCTGTCGGGAGGCCCTTACTGAGACCGGAGGCCAGGACCTTTTCCTCTCAGCCCTTGTCTCCATCCCCACGCCCCCCACCCAGTCAGTCCCAGGCCAGTCACTGCTGACAGCCTCAGTGCTTCATTCCCTCTGCTCCATTTTCTCTCTGATATTCAGAGGCCTTCGTTGTGTCTTGCCTAGGCTGTTGCGATGCGATGGCCTCTTTTTAAAAATCCTTGGCTTTTTAATTGTATAATGTATAGCAGGATCCAGATCTAAATAAAACATAATATCTGCCCTTGGAAAACTCATGGTAATGGCAGTAGATCGACTTCTAAACAGAACATGCCTCAGGCGGTGGGTGAGAGCAGACAGGTGGCGTCTGCGGGACGCGCAGGTGCAGGGCGGGGCGGTGTCTGTGCCGAGTGCCCCCCTGGCAGGTGAGAGCGCTCGGTGAGGGACAGTGCGGGTCAGGCCTGTGCTTCTATTCCACATTCTCTCCTTCAGCACATGCCCAGATTTTCACGGTCTGACTTATGTGGGCTTTGGAGGTTTGGAACATGTTGTGCACCTTGATGGGCATGTTTCTAGAGTCAGAACTTTATCAAACTGTGTCAGGGGGAGATTTGCAAGAAAAAACAAAACCCTACACGATATTCACACAGGGGCAGCTTCTTTGACACTTGAGTATCTCCCTGAGCTGAACGAAGCCTCACTTCAAATACACCTGAGTCCTGTCACAGAATCAGCTTTACCCGGGAAACACCCAGCACTCAGTTTCTTCTCTTTATTGACATATACCATATTCTACAGTGTTAACCTGCACGATCACAGTAACCAGGCGGAAAACAGCACCTCAGAGTCAGGGCTAGATTTGGGGTCGGGTGGCTAGGTTGTGCCCTCCCGTCACCTTTCCTGGCGCCCCCACATCCTGCGCTTCCGCCTGTCACTGGGGAGTCAGCCCACAGCTCCACTCCTGACCTGTGGAGCGTCCATCAGCCGCAGCCTGGCCACGTGTGCCCAGGTGCACCGCCTCCCTGCCTGTAACTCGTGCCCTGAGGACACGCCAGCCCAGCAGGCAGGAATGGAGACCTTACTTCAGAAATGGTCACCAGCAAACTCTGTGCCCAGAGGGGTTGTGGAGCCGTGATAATGCCAGGCTGAGTCACAAAGCCTGGGTGGCCTCTGCAGTTCTTCCCATGGTTTGCCACATACGCCTTACCTTACTGTGGCCCAGTTTCCTCCCCCGGATGTGTGAACTGGTAATGTGGTACGCAGTCTAGTAGAATCCAAGTTCCAAGAGGGCAGGGCCTGCCTGTCATGTTGCTTGTCACCACGCCCCAGGTGCCCCCTTACCAAGCATGTTGGGTCCTTCATACACTGTCACTGAGTGAATGACGGGGCGACCTGCTGGCCCTGCAGCCTGCACGTACTCCGGATGTGATGGGACTTTCTCTTCTGTTCTCACCTATGTTCATCTGTCTTTCAGGAGCCCAGCAGCTGGGGCCGCCCTATTACACCGACCCAGGAGGACCGGGGATGAACCCTGTCGGAAATTCCATGGCAATGGCTTTCCAGGTCCCACCCAACTCACCCCAGGGGAGTGTGGCCTGCCCGCCCCCTCCTGCCTACTGCAACACGCCTCCACCCCCGTACGAACAGGTAGTGAAGGCCAAGTAGCGGGGCGCCCTCGTGTGAGACGAGAGACGAGAGACGGGAGAGGGCCTTTCCCCGGCCTTTCTGTCCCCGTGGATGTTCATGTCCAGGAATGGTCTCATGGGCCGCCAAGAGCAGTTCCTCTGATATCCTCACAGCAAGCACAGCTCTCTTTCAGGCTTTCCATGGAGGACAATCTGTGAACTCACACTGTGTCTCCTCTGTCGCTTCTGTTTCTGACAAAGTCTGTGCTCTCACGTGGCAGTGTGGTGACAGTTCCCGAGGGCTGACGTCCTTACGGTGGTGTGACCAGATCTTCGGGAGAGAGACTGAGAGGAAGAAGGCAGTGCTGGAGGTGCAGGTGGTGTGTGGAGGGGCCAGGCCAGGCACCCTGGGCAAGCAGCTTTCTGCTGGGTATTAGCAGGAAGCCCCACGCCGGGTGGCTCAGCCAATGAAGCAGCAGCTGGCTGAGCTGAGGCCAGCGACCTTCTCCAGCCTGTCCTCCCGTCAGCCGTCCTCTTCCAGAAGCTGTTGGAGCGACAATCAGGAGAGAGCAAGCCCCTTGTCACATTTCTGTCTCTGTTCGCTTCCTAAAGACAGGCTTCTCCTGCACCGCCAGGGAAGAGCAGCGCATGCCGCTCTCACCGCAGGATGTTGCCTAGAATCAGGCCTGCATTGGAGGTCTGACGGTGATCTGAAATTCACTAAGGAAAGTTATTTAAATCCATGGGAAATCACTTCCTGCCCTGAACTGAGACATTGCATTCTGTGAGCTCTTGGGTCTGACTTAGAGAAAGCACTGTTACCCGTTTCTTCAGTGTGTTTATGGAAGTGCATGTAGAGTGTCCTGTCCTTGAGATCGGACTGGGCATGTGTCTTCCCTCCGACGTCACTGCCTCTCCAGGGTGTTCTCAGGCCCGGGGGTCCCCTTCCCTCCAGCAGCTCCAATGGTGGGTTCCGAAGGGCAGTTTGAAAGCAGGGGGCACATCTGACTGGGAAGTCACATGGCCCTTCCTGGAAGAGAGACTGGCTGAGGTGTCAGCAGGGCATGGCCAGCCATGCTGACCGTAGTGCATGATGGTTGTGTCGGGTCTGAGCGCATGTATGCTGCGCTCCAAGGAGGAGGAGCTTGCTGGGAAAAGAGAGAAGTACTGACTCAACTGCATTGACCATGTCAAAATTAGAATAAAGAAGATATGTGATGCACATTCCTGGAGAGGAATCGCAGCTCACCCCAGGGTCTCACAGATAGTCTCCTGAGTAGTTGATGGCTAGCGGGAATCTAGCTCTGTCCTGCTGCATAGTTGTAGTGATGATGTGTGAGTCCTGACCTGTCCTGTGTGCTGACGAGCAATGCCGCTTAGCTGAGCCGCCTAGATTACTAGATGTGCTGTATCATGGGGAATGAGGTAGGGGTGCTTATTTTTTAGTGAACTAATCAGAGCCTCTTGAGAAATCATTACTCGTTGAATTGGAACATCAAGACCTCTCACGGAAGTGGCTACGGAGTCATTTGTTGTCCGTGCTTTTCACTCTGAGGACATAGAATCAGAGAACCTCCTGGGGAATTCCACGGGAAATACTTGGAAACAAAACAGACACCCTGGGAATGCAGTTGAAAGCACAGATGCTGCCACCACTGTCTCTGACCCACCCTGGTGTGACCACTGGCCGCCAGGGCGGGACCTCCCATGCTGCAGGCCTCCATCTAAATGAGACAGCAAAGCACAAGCTCATTGTTTACAACCAAGACAACTGCGTGGGTCCAAACACTCCTCTTCCTCCAGCTCATTTGTTTTGCATTTTTCATGTCAGTTTCTCCCTTGATTTTTTGTAACGAAAAAGCACACTAAGCTGCCCCTGGAATCGGGTCCAGCTGAATAGGCACCCAAAGGTCTGTGACTCAATTTCGTTTATCTTTTTGATAGCAAATTATGTTAAGAGACTGAGTGAAGGCTAGGGCGCCACAATTTTATATTCCCATGTTTGTGTGAGACGGATTTTGTTTTCCCTTGAACCTGGTTAGAATTGTGCTACTGTGAACGCCGATCCTGCATATGGAAGTCCCACTTCAGCGACATTTCCTTGCTATTCTTGTTTCCATTGTGTGGGTGGTGGGTCGCGTCCACTTCCTGGAGTGAGACAGCTCCTGGCGTGTGGAATTCCCGGCACGTCCGTGGTTCAGAGTAAACTTGAAGCAGATCTGTGCATGCTTTTCCTCTGTAACAATTGGCTCATTTCTCTTTTTTGTTCCCTTTTGATAGGATCCTGTTTCCTATGTGTGCAAAATAAAAGTGAATTTGGGCATGTGCTTTGATTGTTTTGTGGGGGAGTGGGAAAGAGGATGGAGATGAAGGTTCTAATGTGGAAGGGCGTACGGCTGATCCTTGGTCCAGCAGGGTGGGAGGGGTGGAGGATGCGCCCAGTCTCCGAAGAGCCGGAAACTCGATGTTACATGAAAGGGTAAGATACAGGCTATGGAGACAATTGTCCCTGGTGGGTAGGAAGACAGAAGCATTGCTAAGATAATGTACAGTTGATACTGTTAGTTTACCTGGAGCTGGGGGAGTTTTTCATAGGTGGGAGGAGCCTTCATTTTAAAACACAGCTCTGCTTGGTCAGAAATAATACTTCTCTCACAGATGCCACTGAAGGGTGTAGTTGCTGCAGTTAAACTGCATTTTAGTAATTTATTTTCTATTTTATTTTATTGTTAGAGATGGGGGTCTTACTATGTTGCCCAGGCTGGTCTCAAAATACCTCAAGCGATTCTCCCACCCCAGTCTCTCAAATAAGCTGTATTTGAGACGTGTCACTAATTGAAGTCATGTTTTCAAAGAAGGATTTTCTACTTTGCTTCCTATTTTTGTTTGTTTGTAGAGACAGGGTCTTGTTCCGTCACCCAGCTTTCACTCAGCTCATTGCAGCCTCAAACCTCTAGGCGCACGCGATCCTCCGCTTCCAGAAGCCGTGGGATCCCAGGCATGAGCCACGGTGCTTGGTTGATTTTTAGCTTCTTAAAGCACTAGTCCTAGAGCATAGTCCCTCCCCTAAAAGTCTTCTGTAGAGCATTTGGGGACCAAAATGGTGTCCATCCCTGGGAGACTGGCAGTGCACACCTGTGTGTTTAACAGTCTGAGAAGTATCACAATGCTGTTAAATCCAGCGCTCCCCCAAATTAGTAGGGCATACAGTTCTTTGCCTTGCAGCGGGCAGGGCTGACAGTAAGCACGCCGCTTCTGCCCACCCCGTGTTTGAGGACGGCTGCCCTGAAAGGCAGAACGAAGAAAGGGCAGTAATGCTTCCAACAATTCCGCACCGTTGCAGCTAGGCCTTTTATCAAAGTGCTTGTCTCGGACAGGGCACAACAAATCCACTGGCTGCTTGGCACAAGCCTGTTGGATTTTTAAAATATATTTTGCATGTGTTTTCACCTTTAAAAGGCAATTGCAAATGACCCATTTTTATGATAAAACTGAGTACAGGTGCAGCCCTACTGATGCAAATGGCTTTGAGGCGACATATGACAGTCAGTGTAAAATACCAGCTTCTCAGACACCTCAGCTGCAGGCCTCCTGGGCTAAGCCTGGGGAGCCTCCTAGGAAGTTAAGAGATTTTCTAGCTCAAAGGGCCCAGGAGGGGCCCAGTAGCTTTCAAGCTGCATGAACCTGAAGGCTTCCCGACAATTGTCCAGGGGTTCCTCAAATGCTCAACTACAATATAAAATGTTATTTGACCACATCTAGGCATTTTACCCTGAAAATTTTAAAGCATACAGAAAAGCTGAAAAAAAATTATAGTGAACACTCATAAACCCACTACCTAGATCCTACAGCGATTGTTATTATAAAAACTAGCGTGCTTTAAAAGAAAAAACTAGTGTGCTTTTTCTGACACTTTATATACTGTATTTTAAAGCATTGGTAGTCACTTTGATCCTAGAATAAGGTAAAAATTAGTTTGTCCTCAAATGCTG